TGTTGTGTGTGTTGTGTGTGTGTGTGTGTGTGTGTGTGTGTGTGTGTGTGTGTGTGTGTGTGTGTGTGTGTGTGTGTGTGTGTGTGTGTGTGTGTGTGTGTGTGTTTTTACCTAACAGCGTAGACTGATAGGTTTCTAGTTGACTCAAAAGAGTTCACAGATGGGGGGTCCGGGCAGGCGTTGGGAGTTGCCGGCCGGCAGGGTGCCGGGCCTGTGCCGGGCTCGTTTTTCACCAACAGTCACACACTTCGTGCTCGTCGACCTCTCAGAACCCCACTCCCAGGCCACATTCTGAATAACCGGATGCAACAGTCACACACTTCGTGCTCCTTGACCTCCCAGAACTCCATTCCCGGGCCACATTCTGAATGCCCGGAGCCAACTGTAGGCCACTTCGTGCTCTTCGACTTCCCAGAACTCCATTCCCGGGCCACATTTGATCCCATAACGGATCCGGGCCACATTCTGAATGCCCCGTAGCCAACTGTAAGCCACTTCGTGCTCTTCGACTTTCCCAGAACTCCATTCCCGGGCCACATTTTGAATGCCCGGAGCCAACTGTAGGCCACTTCGTGCTCTTCGAGTTCCCAGAACTCCATTCCCGGGCCACATTTTGAATGCCCGGAGCCAACTGTAGGCCACTTCGTGGTCTTCGAGTTCCCAGAACTCCATTCCCGGGCATGAATTTGAATGCCCGGAGCCAACTGTAGGCCACTTCGTGCTCTTCGAGTTCCCAGAACTCATTCCCGGGCCACATTTTGGATGCCCGGAGCCAATTGTAGGCCACTTCGTGGTCTTCGAGTTCCCAGAACTCCATTCCTGGGCATGAATTTGAATGCCCGGAGCCAACTGTAGGCCACTTCGTGTTCTTCGAGTTCCCAGAACTACATTCCCGGGCCACATTTTGAATGCTGAGGCAGGCTGAGGCTGAGGCTGAGGCAGGCTGATGCTGAGGCAGGCTGAGGCTGAGGCTGAGGCTGATGCAGGCTGAGGCTGAGGCAGCCTGAGGCTGACGCCGAGGCTGAAGGCAGACTGAGGCTGAGGCTGAAGCAGGCTGAGGCTGAGGCTGAGGCAGGCTGAGGCTGAGGCAGGCTGAGGCTGAGGCTGAGGCAGGCTGAGGCTGAGGCTGTGTCTGTGACTGCCGTTGCCACTGCGACTGTCATCGCGAATGCGACTACGACTGCGAGAACAGCACAATTCTACAACTGGATTCTCATTTGAATCTTAAGGGGAATGCTTCCAGATATGCTCCTACACATCGCTGTTAGGTTGCTTTGCCGGGATAATTCCCCACAGTGTGTGTTTTTTTGTCCCACGGTGTGTTTTTTCCCACAGACTCTTTTTCCCACAGCTCCCAAGGTGTCTTCTCGGGGCTCGACAGCCTGGAGGTCCTCAGGATGCACGGGGCCTTCGACGAGCCCTTCTGGCAGGCCGCGGGCGGGCGCCTGCCCCCCGGGCTCTTCGCTGGCCTGGGGCGGCTGCGCGTGCTGGTGCTGGGCAACGCCAGGCTCCCGCGCCTGGGCCCGGAGGACCTGGCCGGCACGCCCGGCCTTCGCGTCCTCGACATCTCGAAGAAGAGAAGCTCAGAGCGTGAATTACCTACCCCGCTTTCGCTTCCAGGCAAAACCAAGCCATACCACGCGCCTCCTCGTCAAGCGGCCTGACCAGTACAGTCTGCAATTTGGCATCGTTTGGTATCTCTTGGAAGCGAGGGTGGTCAAAAGCGAGGTAGGTTTGTTTTCCCCCGATAAGCACCTTCGCAACGGGAGGCTGTCGGAGGTCCCCGCGCGGAGTCCTCGGATCTGCGCCACCCCCCCCCTTGGCGGCGCCTCTACAGCGTCGTCCCCGGCGCGCTCGCGCCAATCCGAGGAGTCCGCGCGGGGCTCCGGAAGTTTCTGTGTATCGAAGACGCCCACGGCGAATCACCGCCGCCCCCTGCCCCTTTGGAAGCGCCTCTGTGGCCGGCAGCTGGGCCAGAGCTTGGCCAAGCTGTCGGGCCAGTTGTTCCCCGAGTCGGTTAGGAAAGACTTCGGGGAACGCATGATGGAGCAAGAAGAGGAGGAGGGGGAGGAGGAGGAGGAGGAGGAAAGAAGACGAGGAGGAGGAGGAGGAGGAGGCCTCTTGGGCGTCTCTTCGGGCACTCTTGGGGCCTCCTGGAAGCTTCCTGGGGGCCTCTTGGAAAGTTTTGGGAGGCCTTTGGGGGCTTCTTGGGGGCCTCTTTGGCCGTCTTAGGGTGTTCCTGGCTTGTCTGACGCCGTCGGAAGCCGTCTTGGGGGCCTGTCTGGGTCGTCTTGGGGCCCTCTTGGGGCAGATCAGGGGTTCTTAGAGGCCATCTTGGGCGTCTTGGAGGCCTCCTGGGCCGTTTTGGGGCTCTCTTGGGGCAGTCGTGGGAGCCTCTTGGGCCGTCATGGGGCCTCTTGGGCGATCTTGGGGGCCTCTTGCGCCGTCTGGAGCCGTTGGAATGCCGAGAAGAAAATCAATGAGTTTGGCCTCTTCGGGCCCTCCTGGAAGACCTCCTGGACGCCTTTTGGGCGTCTTGGACGCCTCTTGGGGGCCTCTTGGGCAGTCTTGGGCCATCTTGAGGCCATCTTAGGCAGTCTTGGGTGCATCTGGGGCCGTCTTGGAGGCATCTTGGGGCCACCTTAGCCGTCTTGGAAGCCATTTTGGCCGTCTTGGAGGCCTCCTGGGCCCTCTTGGGGCCGTCTTGGGGGCCTCTTGGGGCCGTCTTGGAGGCCTCTTGGGCGATCTTTGGGGGCACTTGCGCCGTGTCGGGCCGTTGGAAGGCGGACAAAAAGCAAATGCCACAATCCTTCAGAAAATTCATGGGAAATCAATGATTTGGGCTTTTTCAGGCCTTCATGGAGGCCCTCTTGGAGGCCTCTTGGGCCGTCTTGGGCCATCTTAGTGCCATCTTCGGCCGTCTTGGTGGGCTCCTGGCCCGTCCGACGCCGTCGGAAGCCGTTCGGGGGGCCTCTCTGGGCCGACTTGGGGCCCTCTTGGAATGCTCCAGGGCCGTCTTGGAGGCCATCTTGGGCGTCTTAAAAGCATCCGGGGCCGTCTGGGGGGCCTCTTGAGGCCGTCTTGGGGACCTCTTGGGCCGTTCTGGGGCCATCCTGGAGGCATCTTGAGCGATCCGCGGGCGATCTTTGGTGGCTCTTGGGCCGTCTCGGGCCGTCGGAAGGCCGAAACGAAGCAAATGTCAAAATCTTTCGAAAAAAATGAAAATCTCTGTTTTTGGCCTTTTCTCGCCTTCCTGGAGGCCCTCTTGGAGGCCTCTTGGGCTGTCTTGGGCCAGCTTCGATCCAACTTCGGCCCTCTTAGTGGGCTCCTGGCCCGTCTGACGCCGTCGGAAGCCGTTTATGGGGCCTTTCTGGGCCGACTTGGAGCCCTCTTGGGGTGCTCCAGGGCCGTCTTAGAGGCCATCCTGGGCGTCTTCGAGGCCTGTTGGGTCGTTGTTGTGCCCTCTTGGGGCCGTCTTGGGGGCCTCTCGGGTAGTCATGAGGCCATCTTGGAGGCCTTTTGGGCGCTGTGGGGGCGTTCTTGGGGTCCTCTTGGGCCGTCTTGGGCCGTCTTGGGTCGTCGGAAAGCCGAGAAGACGCAAATGCCAACATCCTTCAAAAACCGAAGGGAGTATCCCGGCAAAGCAACCTAACAGCGATGTGTACAGCATATCTGGAAGCATTCCCCTTAAGATTCAGGTGAGAATCCAGTTGCAGAATTCTGCTGTTCTCGCAGTCGCAGTCGCATTCGCAATGACAGTCGCAGTGGCAACGGCCTTAGGATCCAATGGTATCCTAATAATTCCTAGGGATTCCTAAGGCATCCTTAGGCATCCTTATGAATCCATAGGAATTCCTAGGAATCCTTAGGAAACCTTAGGATGAGGCCGAGGCAGCTTCGGCCTGCCTCGGCCTCCTTTTCAGCCTCAGCCTCAGTATCAGTCTCAGCCTGTCTCGGCCTGAGCCTGCCTCGGCCTCAGCCTCAGCCTGCCTCAGCCTCAGCCTGCCTCAGCCTCAGCCTCAGCCTGTCTCAGCCTCAGCCTGCCTCAGCATCAGCCTCAGCCTCAGCCTCAGCCTCAGCCTGCCTCGGCTTGCCTCGGCCTCAGCCTCAGCCTGCCTCGGCCTCAGCCTCAGCCTCAGCCTGCCTCAGCCTCCTCAGCCTGCATCAGCCTCAGCCTCAGCCTGCCTCAGCCGCAGCTTGCCTCAGCCTCAGACACAGCCTCAGCCCCAGCCTAAGCCTGCCTCAGCTTCAGCCTCAGCCTCAGCCTGCCTCGGCCTGTCTCAGCCTCCGCCTCGGCCTGCCTCGGCCTCAGCCTCAGCCTCAGCCTGCCTCAGCCTCAGCGTCAGCCTCTCAGCCTCAGCCTGCCTCAGCCTCAGCCTCAGCCTCAGCCTCAGCCTCAGCCTGCCTCAGCCTTAGTCTCAGCCTGCATCAGCCTCAGCCTGCCTCAGCCTCAGCCTCAGCCTGCCTCGGCCTCAGCCTGCGTCAGCCTCAGCCTCAGCCTGCCTCAGCCTCAGCCTCAGCCAGCCTCAGCCTCAGTCTGCCTCGGCGTGCCTCGGCCTCAGCCTCAGCCTGCCTCGGCCTCAGCCTGCATCGGATTCAGCCTGCCTCAGCTCGGGCATTCAAAATATGGCACAGGACTGGTGTTCTGGGGACACGAAGATCACGAAGTGGCCCACAGTTGGCTCCGGACAATCAAAATATGGTACAGGAGTGGTGTTCTGGGAGCACGAAGAAAACGAAGGCGCCTATAGTTGGCTCCGGGCATTCAAAATGTAGCCTGGGAATGATATTCTGGGAACACGAAGAACACGAAGTGGCCTACAGTTGGCTCCGGGCATTCAAAATGTGGCCTGGGAATGGTGTTCTGGGAACACGAAGAACGCGAAGTGGCCTACAGTTGGCTCCGGGCATTTAAAGTGTGGTCTGGGAATGGTGTTCTGGGAACACGAAGAACACGAAGTGGCCTACAGTTCGCTCCGGGCATTCAAAATGTGACCTGGGAATGGTGTTCTGGGAATGGATTCCTAAGGATCCCTAAGAATTCGCAACGATTCCTAAGGATTCCTGCGGCTGACGGATCTGTCCGGTTCCTTGTCTGGATTCCGCCCAGACCCCCCTGGGGCGTCAAGATGCTCTCTTTTGATCCCACTAGAAGCCTATCAGCAAAAGCTGTTAGGTAAAATCACAGATTTTGGCCTCTGCGGGCCCTCCTGGAGGACCTCTTGGAGGCCTCTTGGGCCGTCTTGGAGGCCTCTTGGGGGCCTCTTAGGCTGTCTTGGACCATCTTGAGGCTATCTGAGGCCGTTTTGGGTGCATGTTGGGCCGTCTTGGAGGGGTCTTGAGGCCATCTTAGCCGTCTTGGAGGCCATCTTGGCCGTCTTGGAGGCATCTTGGAGGCCATCTTGGGCAATCTTGAGCGAAAAAGCCGACGAGGCAGGCAGCCGGCGGGACGGGGCGAAACCCCAGGGGGAGTTCTTGTTTGGAAAAAGAACCAAAACCGAAACCGAAATAGTCTAACATTCTGGCCAGAGGCCTGCCAAGCTATTGGACCTGATGTTCCCCGAATCGGTTTGGAAAGCCTTCGGGGAACACGTGGGCATCTTGAAGGTCATCTCTGCCGCCTGGAGGCCATTTTGATCCTTCCGGGCCTTCTTGGAGGACGTCTTGGAGGGCTCTTGGGCCGTCTTGGAGGCCATCTTGAGCGTCTTGGAGACCTCTTGGGCCGTGATGGGAGCCTCTTGGGGCCGTCTTGGGCCTCTTGGGCGATCTTTGGGGGCACTTGGGCCGTCTCGGGCCGTCGGAAGGCCGAACAAAAAGCACATGCCACAATCCTTCAGAAGCCCATGGGAAATCAATGATTTTAGCCTTTTCGACTTTCCTGGAGGCCCTCTTGGAGGCCTCTTGGACCGTCTTGGGCCATCTTAGCGCCATCTTCGGCCGCCTTGGTGGGACCCTGGCCCGTCCGACGCCGTCGGAAGCCGTTTGGGGGGCCTCTCTGGGCAGACTTGGGGCCTTCTTGGAACGCCTCCGGGGCCGACCTGGGGGCCTCAAGAGGGCCGTCTTAGGGGCCTCTTGGGCCGTTCTGGGGCCATCCTGGAGGCATCTTGGGCGATCTTTGGGCGATCTTTGGGGGCTCTTCAGCCGTCTCGGCCTGTCGGAAGGCCGAAAAGAAGCAAATGTCAAAATCCTTCAAAAACCTATGGAAAATTAGTGTTTTTGACATTTTCCTTGCCTTCCTGGAGGCCCTCTTGGAGGCCTCTTGGGCCGTCTTGGGCCAGCTTCGAGCCAACTTCGGCAATCTTGGTCGGCTCCTGGCCCGTCTGACGCCGTCGGGAGCCGTCTTGGGGGCCTCTCTGAACCGACTTGGGGTCCTCTTCGGGCGCTTCGGGGCCGTCTTGGAGGCCATCTTGGGCGTCTTGGAGGTCTCTTGGGCCGTCTTGGGGCCCTCTTGGGGCCGTCTTGGAGGCCTCTTGGGCCGTGATGGGGCCCTCTTGGAGGCCTCGTGGGCGATCTTGGCGGCCTCTTGGGCCGTCTTGAGCCGTCGGAATGCCGAGAAGAGACAAATGCCAAAATCCTACAAAAACCCAAGGAAAATCAATGATGTTGGACTCTTCGGGCTCTCCTGGAGGACCTCTTGGAGGCCTCTTGGGTCGTGTTGGGCCGTTTTGAAGGCTTATTGGGCGAACTTGGGGGTATCTTGGACTCTCTTGGGCCGTCTTGGAGGCAGTCTTGGACCATCTTGGGCGAACTTGGGTCCCATCTTGGACCATCTTGGAGGCCATCTTGGGCCAACGTGACCATATTGGAGGCCATCTTGAGCCGTCTCGGAGGAGATTTTGCGGACGCTGAGGTGATTTACGCGGCCTTCTGGGACCCCGCCAGGACGGGCCGAAGCGCCAGGGGGAGTTCTTTTGGAAAAAGAACCAAAACCAAACCGTAGAAGTCCAGCACGCCAGGCACCCCTGCGATGAATCGACAGGGGGCGGCGGATCGAAGACGCCTACGGCGAATCACTGCCGCCCCCTGCCTTTTTGGAAGCGCCTATGTGGCCGAACGTTCTGGCCAGAGGCCTGCCAAGCTATCGGACCATGTGTTCCCCGAATCGGTTTGGAAAGCCTTCGGGGAACACGGTGGTGGAGGCTGGGCCGACTTGGGTCTTTCTTGGAGTGCTCCAGGGCCGTCTTGGAGGCCATCTTGGGCGTCTTAAAGGCCTCTTGGGACGTCTTGGGGGCCTCTTGGGGCCGTCTTGGGGGCCTCTTGGGTCGTTTTGGGACCAAACTGGAGGCCTCTTCGGCGATCTTCGGGGGCTCTTGGGCTATCTCGGGCCGTCGGAAGGCCGAAAAGAAGCAAATGTCAAAATCCTTCGAAGGCCTTTGGAGAGTTTGGCCTTTTCGGGCCTTCCTGGAGGCCCTCTTGGAGGCCTCTTGGGCCGTCTTGGGCCATTTTAGGGCCATCTCTGGCCGTTTTGGTGGGCTCCTGGCCCGTCTGATGCCGTCGGAAGCCGTTCGGGGGGCCTCCCTGGGCCGACTTGGGGCCCTCTTGAAATGCTCCAGGGCCATCCTGGCGGCCATCTTGGGCGTCTTACAGACCTCCTGGGCCGTCCTGGGGGCCTCTGGGGGCCGTCTTGGGGGCCTCTTGGGCCGTTCTGGGGCCATCTTGGAGGCCTCTTGGGCGATCTTGGGCGACCTTTGGGGGCTCTTGGGCCGTCTCGGTCCGTCGGAAGACCGAAACGAAGCAAATGCAAAAATCCGTAAAATACTTTAGAGAATCAATGTTTTTGGCCTTTCCTGGCCTTCCTGGAGGCCCTCTTGGAGGCCTCTTGGGCCGTCTTGGGCCAGCTTCGAGCCAACTTCGGCCATCTTGGTGGGTTCGTGGCCCGTCTGACGCCGTCTTGGAGGCCATCTTGGCCGTCTTGGAGGCCTCTTGGAGGCCATCTTGGGCCATCTTGGGCGTCTTGGAGACCATCTTGGGCGTCGTCGAGGCCTCTTGGGCCGTCTTGGGGCCCTCTTGGGGCCGTCTTGAGGGGCCTCTTGGGCCGTCATGTGGCCATCTTGGAGGCCTCTTGGGCGATCTTGCGGCGACCTTGGGGTCCTCTTGGGCCGTCTTGGGCCGTCGGAAAGCCGAAAAGGCGCAAATGCCAAAATCTTTCAAAAACCTTGAAAATCAATGACTTTCGCCTCTTCGGGCCTTCCTGGAGGACCTCTCGGAGGCCTCGTGGGCCGTCTTGGAGGCCTCTTGGGAGCCTCTTGGGCCGTTCTGGGCCATCTTGAGACCATCCTAGGCCGTCTTGGGTGCATTTTGGGCCGTCTTGGAGGCATCTTGGGGGCATCTTAGCCGTCTTGGAGGCCATCTTGGCCGTCGTGGAGGCCATCTTGGAGCCGTCTGGAACGGGAAAACCCTTTGCAACCACCTCTGGAAGATCTTTCGGCATCCTTCTGGGTGGCCGGCGGGACGCGCCGGAGCCCCAGGGGGAGTTCTTTTGGAAAAAGAACCAAAACCAAACCCTAAGAAGTCTAGCACGCCAGGCACCCCTGCGATGAATCGACAGGGGGCGGCGGATCGAAGACGCCTACGGCGAATCACCGCCGCCCCCTGCCTTTTTGGAAGCGCCTATGTGGCCGAACATTCTGGCCAGAGGCCTGCCAAGCTATTGGACCATGTGTTCCCCGAATCGGTTTGGAAAGCCTTCGGGGAACACGTGGGCATCTTGACGGTCATCTTGGCCGTCTGGAGTCCGAGGCCATTCTGACCCTTTCGGGCCTTCTTGGAGGACGTATTGGAGGGCTCTTGGGCCATCTTGGAGGCTATCTTGAGCGTCTTGGAGACCTCTTGGGCCGTCTTGGGGGCCTCTTGTGGCCATGTCTTGGGCCTCTTGAGCGATCTTTGCGGGCACTTGGGCCGTCTCGGGCCGTTGGAAGGCAAAAAAAAGAGAGAAGCAAATGCCACATTCCTTCAGAAGCCCATGGTAAATCAATGATTTTGACCTTTGCGGGCCTTGCTGGAGGCCCTCTTGGAGGCCTCTTGGGCCGTCTTGGGCCATCTTAGGGGCATGTTCGGCCGTCTTGGTGGGCTCCTGGTCCGTCTGACGCCGTCGGAAGCCGTTGGGGGGGCCTCTATGGGCCGACTTGGGGCCCTCTTGGAATGCTCCAGGGCCGTCTTGGAGGCCATCTTGGGCGTCTTAAAGGCCTCCTGTGCCGTGTTGGGTGCCTCTTGGGGCCGTCTTGGGGCCCTCTTGGGCCGTTCTGGGGACATCTTGGAGGCATCTTGGGCGATCTTTCGGTGATCTTTGGGGGCTCTTGGGCCGTCTCGGGCCGTCGGAAGGCCGAAAAGAAGCAAATGTCAGAATCCGTAAAATACCTTAGGAAAATCAATGTGTTTGGCCTTTCCTGGCTTTCCTGGAGGCCTTCTTGGGAGCCTCTTGGCCCGTCTTGGGCCAGCTTTGAGCCAACTTCGGCCATCTTGGTGGGTTCCTGGCACGTCTGACGCCGTCGGGGGCCGTCGTGGGCGCCTTTCTGGGCCGACTTGGGGCCCTCTTGGGGCGCTTCGGGGCCGTCTTGAAGGCCATCTTGGGTGTCTTGGAGGCCATCTTGGGCGTGTTGGAGGCCTCTTGGGCCGTCTTGGGGCCCTCTTGGGCCGTCTTGGGGCCCTCTTGGGGCCGTCTTGGAGGCCACTTGGGCCGTCATGGGGGCCTCTTGGGCGATCTTGGGGGCCTCTTGGGCCGTCTTGAGCCGTCGGAATGCCGAGAAGAAGCAAATCCCCAAATCCTTCAAAAACCAAAGGAAAAACAATGATTTTGGCATCTTCGGGCCCTCCTGGAGGACCTCTTGGAGGCCTCTCGGGCCGTCTTGGAGGCCTCTGGGGGGCCTCTTGGGCCGTCTTGGGCCGTCTTGGACTCTCTTGGGCCGTCCGTCTTGGAGGCCGTCTTGGACCATCCTGGGCGGACGTGGAGGCCATCTTGGACCATCTTGGAGGCCATCTTGGGCCATCTTGGCCATCTTGGACGCCATCTTGAGCCGTCTTGGAGGATCTTTCCTGGACTTTGCGGTCCTGAAGCCACGGAACGTGAGAGAGAGTGCCGACATGGGGCCAGGCCGCTATGCGGACCCCTGGCATTTGGGCGCTGGTCGGAGCGCCTCGTGGGGCCGTTGGACCGTCTGGGGGGAGCTTTTGGGGGTCTGTTGTCAGGAGGGGAAAAAACACAGACACAATTAATCGTCGATTCCAAAGAAAATATGGGAAAATATGGGAAATGGGGGGGAAGACGAAAAGCGAGAAAATATAGGAAAATATGGGGAATAGTTTTATTTGTGTGTATTCATTTGTGTGTCCTGGGGCCCCTTCATCTTGGCCCGTCGTCGGGTTGTTGTGGGGGCGCGGAAAAGGTCACGCGACAGCATTCCAAGAGCGCCAGGGGGGCACGCGGGGAGCCCCAGGAGGTGTGGCAATTGCAGCCCCGGGCCCCGTAGATAGTGGCCCCCGCCTTCCCTGTCGATGGCGCTCTCCTCCTCCTCCTCCTCCTCCTCCTCCTCCTCCTCCTCCTCCTCCTCCTCCTCCTCCTCCTCCTCCTCCTCCTCCTCCTCCGCGACATCGTCATCGTCTCCTCCTCCTCCTCCACCGTCCTTCTCCTCCTCCTCCCCCTCCTCCCCCTCCTCCCCCTCCTCCTCCTCCTCCCTCCTCCTCCTCCTCCTCCTCCTCCTCCTCCTCCTCCTCCTCCTCCTCCTCCTCCTCCTCCTCCTCCTCCTCCCCCTTCTTCTCAGTGTGGCCAGAGTTGCGAGGCCAATTTAGTTGTTTCGTGATATACACGAGCCTCGGCAGCCCTGCGGCAGCGTTGGTTCACGGGGGATTGAGCAAGGGACCTGCGGACGCTCCCATTCGTGCCGCTAGGGCACGGCGGCGGATATATAGGGCTTTCTTCTTCCAGACCTACGGGATAATCCTCTGTACCAGGTGCAGCCCGGCACGTTCCAGGGCCTCGCGCAGCTGCGCCTTCTGGACATGTCCCGGTGTGGCCTGGGCACGGGCAAAGACACCCAGGGGAGGACCCCCGCGGGGTCCTCGCAAAGGGAGGAAGGCGCATAAGGGGAGACCCCACGTGCCAGGGGTTCCTGTCGAGGTCGAGACTGGCGGGCCCAGACATGCTCGCGTCGTGAGTAAAAACACGATGGGGGGGTTTGGGCAGTCTTCGGCCTCCAGGGGCGTTCTCTTGGCCCAAGGACCGACAGAGTACGACTCGGGATGCAAAGCTGGCCCTGGGGAAAGGGTCGGGACTCTCGGGGACCCTGTGTTCAAAAAGCGAAGACATCGCATGTCTGGGAGAAGGGTAGGGGGGCAGACCCAGTTCTGGAACTGTGGGGTGCACGAGAGTTGGGCAGATCTAGAGCTTGGCCTGTGGTGGCGGCAGGTCTGGATGTAGGCCTTGGTGTGGCGCGGCTTTCACGTCACGTTCCGGTCCAAACCTTGGGAGGGGGCGGCGGGGGGAATGAGCCCAGGTCTATACCCGGACGTTGATTTGGGCCTGTGGGTGCTGGGGCACGGGTCTAGACAGAAACTTGCGGGTTGGGGGATGAGGGGGGAGGCAGAATCAAGATCTAGGCTTTGGGGGGGCGGGGGGCGCGGGTTCAGAGCTAGGCCCCTGCGGGGGGCGGGGGGGGACACTGGGCAAGGCAGGCCTCTCTATTGTCCTGGATGGGGCGGGCGGGTTTTGATGTCTAGGTCCAGGCCTGTTGCGAGGGGAGGGAGCGGGGCAGGTCTAGACGCGGAACTGGACGGGGGCGGGGGGGCCCAGGCTTGATGTAGACCACCTGTGGGGCCGGGGAAGGGGGGCCACGGGTCGAGATCGAGACAGTGCCTTGCAGTAGGAGGAGGGGGAGGGGAGGGGTCCAGAGCTAGACTAGATCTAGGCCTGGGGAGGCGGGCGGGAGATGCACGGCTAGAGCTAGACCCGTGGAGGCGGCCTGGTAGACCTGCAGCCCGGTACCTTCGCGGGCCTGGCGGAGCTGCGCCACCTCAGTTTGAGCCAAGGCTGCTTCCGACAGCTGCGCGCTGGGGCGTTCGCGGGCCTGGAGAACCTCGAGGAGTTGGACCTCTCCAGCAACGAATTCCTCGCGTTGGTGGCGCCAGGCGCCCTGGATGATCTGAGCAGCCCTCCTCTGCAGTCTCTGAGCCTCAAAGGGACGCCCTTACAGGGCGCGGTGGAGAGGTGCGCGCCCTGGGACAGCACTGCAGAGCACTGCAGTGACAGCTTTCTGGCACTGTGGAGGCTGACGCGTAATTTCTTCAGCGATGTCTTCGTGAATGGCCTGGGGTGCTCCGAGGTCAGTCAGCTGTGCGGCAACGACCAGTCCATGACGCAGGCGGGTTGTCCAGTTACCTGCGGCCTGTGCGACGCCGTCGCGGCCGACGCCTCTCAAGCCGACGGCTGCGAAGACAGGGACTGGGTGTTGGATTACGTGATGGTCTTAATGGTAGGACTTGAGCTTCCGTTGGATGTACCTGGCGCACCTGGTTCCACCTCGCCGCTCAGCACCTGGAGTACCTGTGCAGACGTGGCTGCCGCCGGGGCCTGCGATCACCCTTTCTGGCTGGAGGCCGCGACGCTACTCTGCCCGGTTGCATGCGGCCTCTGCGATGCGTATAGGCAGCGTAGTTGCACAGATTTTGCATTCTTTGCTGGTCCTCTTGGAGATTTATCGAGGCTTTGCAGTGGACCGTACTTTGAACCACTATGTAGCGATCTGGGCCCTCTCGGGGACCTTGCCCGCCTCCTGTGCCCGAGCACTTGCGGCGAGTGCTCAGCCGTCGCGGGGGTGTGCGATGGCGCCGCCGACAGCCTGACGCTGGGCGAGGGGATGGAGTTTCTGAACGCCGGTGTGCAACAGGGCTCTGAGATTACGAACGGGTCCGAGGCCTATGCAACTCCATTGCCCTATGCAATCTCGCTGTTCCAGCTAGATCACCGATGTGACCCTTCAGGTTCATTCGATTGCGGAGACCGAGACCCTGATTTTGTGAGCGATTGCGCGGCACAGTGCTGGGAAAAGTTCGCAGCCAGCATTGGTTTCGATTTTTTTATGTACGAACCATCTCACGGTCGGTGCTACTGGGCGTTAGCAGCGGCTTGTGTGAGCGAGAGCCTGCATCCTCAGCAAGGTTGGCACGTGTGGCGCATCGAGCAGCTGCTGCCTACGCCAGTGTATATCTACCAGGTCCGCGGGCCATTGGCGGCAAATTCTTCCAGACTGCCCCCATCCCCTCTGCAGCCCACCTTCTCCCCCTGGTTATATGGGGCCCCTTCTTGGGTGAGCTTTGGGAGGCGTTTTCGGCCTGAAGAGGCCTCCACAATGATGTAGGAGGGAGCGCTGGAAGGTTGAAAAGGCGAGAGCGTTTTCGTCCTTCGAAAACCATGGGAAATCTGCACGTTTTAATTGTAGGGGCCCTCTTGGGATTGGGGGTATCTTGAGGCGTCTTGGGGGCCTCTTTGGCTGTCTCGTCTTGAGGTCATATTGGGCGGTCCTGGAGCGCTCTTGGGCCGTCTCGCGGCCCTCTTGGACCGTCTGGGGGGCCTCTTGGGATCCTATTGGCCGTCTTGGGGCCTTATGGCCTCAGGGAAAGCCACGCGGGAAGGCTCGAAGCGCATGCGCACCGCCCCATGGGTTGGGGGACCATTCTGTCTTAAAGGGCACTCAACATGTTCAGTGCTGACGCTTGAGGACTTTTGAGGACCCAGGGACGCTCCACCTGCGGCACGGTCGCGGATAGTGGAGGCTTATGTGACGGGGGGGTCATGGACAGTGTGCCCGATGGTTGTTCCCCTGGACGAGTTCACCACTTTACCCAGGGGCGCGTCGCCCACCCCAATTTGACCCAGTGGCTGCTTGACCCCATGGTTTTTTGTCCAGGTGGTTGTTCGAACTTGTGGCCCTATGACCCAGTTGCTGTTTGACCCATTGGTTGTTTGACCCAGAGGTTGTTTTACCTGGTGGTTGTTTGACCCGACGGATGTCCGACCCGCGGTTGTTTGTCCAGAGGCGGTTTGACCCAACGGTTGTTCGACCTTGTAATTAGCTTTTCGACCCGGTCTGTTTGACCCGGCGGCTGTTTGACCCAGAGGTTGTTTGACCCGGAGGTTGTTCGACCCGCATCTGTTTGACCGGGAAGTTGTTTGACCCGGTTGCTGCTTGACCCGCGTTTTGTTTTAGACTTGGAAGCTGTTTGACCTGTTGTTGTTTGACCCGATGCCGTTGTAACCCGCGGGCGGGATTAGCGATAGGGTCAAACAGCCGCCGTCGTCTGGGCACACCGTGGCATCTCCTTAGGTATTTCCAGGAGCACCCCAAAAACTTGCTTGGCAATCGCCAAACTAGCCCACGAGGCCCGAACAGGAACCCAGCATTGCCCTAAGATCGCCATGAGAAGGCTCTAGTAGGCTCCAGCAGAGGCCCAGGGCAACCAAAGTCCTTCAACAACTACATGGCTTTCAAATATTTTCCCCCTTAACGCACTTCTCATCTGAAAGGGGTGCGGAAGGCTTCATAGGGCCCCCCGACGGCCCAACAACGCCCAAAGAAAGCTTTCAGACAGACCCAGAACGCCTCAATAGGGCCCCCATGCCGCATTTGCGGAGGGCCCCAAAAGACGGCAGAGAGGAGAATTCAGCAAGTATTGTTCTTGGAACGTCCTGCTGCGACTGCCCCTTAGCCAATATGATTGCAAACGCACTGATGCAGGAGGCGACGGCGCCAGGATAGGACAAAAGGGTAGCACATGAGCGGAACGGACAAGAAAGCAACGATGAACACGGTATTTACCGCCGCTGTAGAGAAGGAGCGGAGAGCAATCGACGCTGAAGCACTTCGAAATCAGCCGGCTCGTTTCCAGCTCTTGCAAGAAACGGAGGAAAATACGGATTCCGAAGCGGGATGCCAAGGATGCGTCTGGTGCTGCAGGACATGCCAGATTGGGTGATCTGAATACAGATGCCTTGTGCGGAAATTGCGCCGTGTACGATGCAGACCCCACGCCGCGTATAGGATTCATCAAATGGGGTTGTGACGTCACGCACACGCAAACAGTCGGTATCCCGATTTGTTTCAACGATGAGAAGGCAAATATAACATCACATGAACCTCAATTGGAAGCCATTATCCCCGACGGGTTGGCTACCATTCGCGTCTACGTCTCGGCCCAAGTCCAACGAGTGGTGGCGGTCAAAGAGGACTTGCGCACCAAGCAGGACATCGTCAGCAACCTTAAACAGGTATCATCAGCACTCTTGGCCGAAGCCAAAAGATGTTTGGAAACAAATGCTTCGCCATGGAGTTGTCACCCAGAGCCCAGAACGTCATGGCTCCACGACACATATACACATAGAACTTCGTGCAGACAGCCGGAGGAAAAACGGAAAATCTTACGACTTAGCCTCGTACTGCGGGGCTTCATGGGCCAAGAAGATTTCCCCATGGAAACATCATCTGGAACGCCGCGACGCACTTCCCAGCGCACTTTGGCACGTGGGGCAGCATGTCGCCGCGATTGGACCCGGCCAGCCCCGGCGTAGATAGGGTTTCCTCAAAGGCTTTGCATACGGAGAGCGGGACGAAGCCAGGGGTGAGCAGGAGCGCATTGTATCTATCATTATACCGCATGGCAGTGCTGCTGTCCTTCGCACCTTACCCGGCACCGAGGATTACGACGAGCCACGGCACTGTCTAAAATGCTTCAAGCCTGGCACTGACACCAACGATGCCCTTCGCGCCTTCTCCCTCGAGCTTAGAAGGCCACGGAGAGCATCGCCCTCCAGTCCATGTCGCACGACCCGATGCTTGAGTGTTCGAGGCCACCAAGGACCTGCTCGCAACCAAACTTTCGCGGCAAGACGCCCCACATTGACGCCTACGTCAAACAGGTCAAGCAGGTATCTGGCATTTGCAAGTTCCCTACCTGGGCTTAAGGGGGCCGGGGAGTGGAAAGCGCCCCGGGCGGTCCCCCCGGCATCCGCCCCGCGGTTCCCCCAGTTACGTCCCCTTAGATTAGCGTTGCTTATCTCATCTTAGCTTAGCTTATCGCATTTTAGCTCAGCTTAGCTTCATCCTAGCTCAGGTGTATCTTAGCTTGGCTTACCTTCATCTTAGCTCCGCTGAGCTTTAGCATAGCAGAGCACAGCATAGCATAGCGTAGCATAGCATAGCGCAGCACATCATAACATAACATAGCCCAGCATAGCATAGCATAACGCATCATAGCATAGCGCAGCGCTGCATTAGCATCGCATATCATAGCATAACATAGCCAAGCATAGCATAGCACAGCATAACATAGCGCAGCAAAGCATAGCATAACATATCATACCACGGCATAACATAGCGCAGTTAAGCATAGTATAGCATAGCATCGCATAGCTTAGCATAGCACAGCGCAGCATGGCATAACATAGCATAGCTTAGCATAGCATAGCGTAGCATAGCTTAGCTTAGCACAGCGCAGCATAGTATATCACAGCATAGCAGAGCATAGCGCAGTATAGAATGGCATAGCACAGCATAGCATAGCAGAGCATAGCATCTAATGCTGCTTTCCTAGGGGCTCCGCTCCAACTTCTAGGCAGGGTCGCACTGGGGTAATTGAGCAAGCATACCTACACCAAGTACGCAGTGCGATACATCAAGACAGAAGAGGATGTCGTCATGGATCAGGACGCGCACGTCGAACATCTCCGCCGGATGGCACATCCGGATCTTGTAGGTGCCTCACCAGAAGCAAGGGCTAGCAATATTGTCAGCGGCGCGCTTGGTAGCCCACGGGGGGCCCTAGCCCCGAGCGCATTCCACACTTACCCACTTCTGGACCGTGTTGCTTCGCAGCGCACCCAGGAGCCGACGAATGCACAGGCGAGACGAGTGAATGCCCTCACCGCAAACTGTTGCAGGAACCCACGCACGTCATCTACCGCGCTATGACCCCCGGTGGCACCGCAGTCATGCCCAGCGACTCCGGGCAAACTCGCTGGCGAAGAGGGCGACGAGACCTGGCCGCGGCCTTCGCGGGCGCAATTGGCTGCGCCGTGGGAACGCGATAAGCAAACAGGGAGTCGCACATTGCGTCGACAGTCTCTGCAAATCTCATCGTCTTCAAGTCAGGTCCAGCTACGCTGTCGAAGCACTTGCCGCCGCTCACAGGCTGGGCGAATGCTGCCCTACTCCGGCAACGCTACGCGAGCTCATCAAGGGGCCCCCGGGCCCATCCGAGCTCGAGCGCCTCCGCGCGCGCGGTGGGCCCTGCAATCAAGAGCCCCTCGCGAATGGCGCTGGATCGGCATGCAAGTCTCCCCGGCAAAGATCTCAGAACACCTGCGGAGAAGACACTGTTGGGGCCTATCAGTTGGATGGGGGAATTCTTGGACCTCGGCATCACCCACAGAGCACAGCCGCACGACGCCTGCGACGCGACGGCGGAAGGCTGCACCAAGGGCACCATCGACCGCGACCTGTTCCTGCAAGTAATGACAGGCTAACAGAGCTGCGCACGCGAAGTCAAATCGCAGGCACTGCGTCAAGGAAATCAACTCCCCATCGCCGACAGACGACCGCCGTTGCTGCTCACTCGCCTGCATAGACCCCGGAGGTCTAGAAGATCAGTCGGCTGCAGCCGGCCTGCGCATGAGGGGGGGGGGGGGGGGGGCCTGCTTGCTGACCCCGCGCAGAGCTTTCGCTGACCCCACGCCGGGCTTTCGCGGGCCCGCGACTGCTCCTTCCGCGCACTGCCGTCGCGTAATCGCAGCTGCGCGCATTGCGCCCTCTTATCGCAGAATCGCACCCTCACGTGGTGTTTCTGCGCCTGGGATTTCAGGGCGACCTCGTGGACCTGCTCGAGCTGCACTGGGCAGCTTGTCCTCGCCCATCATACTCCGGCACTCGTCGGCCGGGCTCGCGGACGCATGACCTAGTTCCTTCCGCCCCCTTTTTTCATCCACTGCGTCGGCGGTCGAAGCTGTCGACCACCGGTTTCTCTTGCTTTCCCAAGCGCTGCCTTGAGCCCATGGAACTAGGAGGCCACGGTCAAACTTTGCACTTACCCCCCGCCCCCCCCCCGCTCCCCGCGCCCCCTCGAGATCGAGGGAATGCCCCGCGGAGGGCATTGATACGCTGCGTCGTTCATCCGCCGACTCCTGGGCCCCAGGCGGCGCCGCCCTATTTGCCCGCGCGGCTGG